TTTAAAAAAAAAAAATCATAATTTTTTTTTTTTACTTGTTTTTTATAATATTTTTCCTTTTCTTTTTTGGTGTTTTGAGATAATTTCAAAAATAAAAATGATTTATAATTAATATTAATGCAATAATTATGACCCATTTTTTCCCCATTGAATATAATAGAATTTTTAATTTTTTTTAAAGCTGTATTTCATTTTAGAGTCAAGCCTAGGCCTCATGAAAGCAATTTTTGAAATGAGATGGATGCCATCTGGTGGACAAACTGAGCATTTTAAAAATTCAAAACCCATATGTAATCTGAATTTATTAGTGTGTATGTGTATAAAAGTGTGTTAGTGTGTGTGTGTGTGGACGTGTCTGTTTTGCACTCTTGATGTTTTATAGATTCACCCCTTCACTGTTGTGTGCTTTTTTTCTGGATCGTGGCTGATTTGTAGATTGTACGCACAAAAAAACTCTGTATTTTCACATTTTTGCCAATTTCCCATTCATTTCCTATGCGGGTCCATTTGGACCCGAAGGTCCTGAGTGTGACTATTTTTTTTACAACCACTTAGACTATTCAAATCCTGTCCCCAATTTGTTTGGGTGTTCATATACCAAGTACCAACAAAGTCACCAAATTTCGGACCATTCCGATAAAGCTATGATTTTTCATCTCTGGATGTGAATACCGCAACGGATACTTTATGCTCCACTTTAACTTCTTCTTTAGACACTATCTGCCCTCTCTCCTCCAGGCCAGCGCGCGCCACTCCCTCAAACCCTTGGTTATCTGAGGTTCTTCGTGAACACCGGACCAAACTCAGAGCAGCGGAGAGAAAATGGCGCAAATCGAATGATACATCTGACCTGAGTATGTATCAATCTCTGCTCTCTGCTTTTTCTGTTGATGTTCACGCTGCAAAATCTTCATACCTCCACAACAAGATCAACACCGCCCCTAACACACGAACACTTTTCAAGACATTCAACTCTCTCCTCTGTCCACCTCCACCACCACCCACCTCCTCACTAACTGCTGATGACTTTGCTAACTTCTTCACTAACAAAACAACAACTATCAGCAGTCAGTTCTCTAATCCACACACACAGGAACCTAGACCAACCACTCCCACAGCCAATAACCTTCCCTCCTCCTTCTCTCCACTAACCGAGGAAGAAGTATCTAAACTTCTCCTCTCCAGTCATCCTACCACCTGCCCTCTAGACCCCATCCCCTCACACCTTCTACAAGCCATCTCTCCCACACTTCTACCTACTCTCACACACATTATCAACTCATCCCTACACACTGGCACTTTTCCTACAGCATTTAAGCAGGCTCGGGTAACTCCACTGCTTAAAAAACCAACATTAAACACATCACTCTTAGAGAATTACAGACCTATCTCTCTCCTACCATTCATTGCGAAAACACTTGAACGAGTTGCTTTCAACCAAGTATCATCTTTCCTGTCTCTGAACAACCAGCTGGATGTCAACCAATCTGGCTTCAAGAAAGGGCATTCAACCGAGACCGCATTACTATCGGTCACAGAAGCCCTGCGGATCACAAAAGCTGCTTCCAAATCATCAGTTCTCATTCTCCTGGACCTGTCTGCTGCCTTCGACACTGTGAATCATCAGATCCTTATGTCCACTCTCTCATCACTGGGCATCACTGGAACTGCCCTCCACTGGTTTGAGTCCTATCTCACAGGTAGGTCCTTCAGGGTCGCATGGGGAGGCGAGGTATCCAAAGCACATCAACTGACCACAGGGGTTCCTCAGGGCTCAGTTCTTGGACCACTCCTCTTCTCCATTTACACCACATCACTGGGACCCATCATACAGGCACATGGTTTCTCTTACCATTGCTATGCTGATGACACTCAGCTCTACCTCTCATTTCAACCAGATGATCCCACAGTAGCTGCTCGAATCTCAAGCTGTCTGGCTGACATCTCAGCATGGATGAAGGAACATCACCTGCAGCTCAACCTGACAAAAACTGAGCTTCTCGTCCTCCCTGCTAATCTGTCTCCACAGCACGACTTCACTATCCTTCACAGACCACATTACAAAGACAGCTCGATCATGCAGGTTTGCAATGCACAACATCAGGAAGATCAGGCCTTTCCTAACTGAGCATGCAATAGGCTTGGGCGGTATCCAAATTTTGATACCGTCAAACCTCCTCCCTATTTTACCGCGGTATACGGTATTACCGCGTGACTAATTAAAAATTATGACATAAGGCTCAGACGGCATCACCAAACTGTTGGTTTGTGCAGGGATGAGTCACAATTTTCGAATATTCAATTATTTGATTTTATTATAGAATATGGAATAGGTTGTGGGATTATTGTCTAAAAAAAATCCCCATGTTGTCCGTTCTGATGCGGTGGTGACACGTTCAAACAGAGGGTGGCGATGCCAATAATGCATCTAAAAGCTGTCAATCAACTCTCAGACAACAGGAGAAGATGCACATTGTCTCACACCAGAGAATGTGAGCGGAGTGGTAACATTTCCTCCAGAGCAGAGAGCGCATTTCTGAAGATCACGCGCCGCGTGCTCAGTCCACTCAGCGTCGCGCGCTCAGAATGCCCGCAGTGACATGCTGGTTAGAAAACATGTGAAGTAGGGCTGCCCGTGCACGACTAAAGTTTTTTTTTTTCTAGGTGACTAGTAGTAGTTGATTTAAGCCATTAGTCTAATCACATATTTATATTGATTAAATTACTTAAATATATATAGGAGAGAAAGCTAAACCATAATGAGCGTTTTCGTAATATATTGCCTATTCTGCATCTCAAAGCACGCATAAAGCTTGCCACAAAGAACCGGCAAAAGTAATTATTATGCATGAAACATTTGAATTGTTTATTAATGAAAAACGTTCTATGTCAGTGGCTGCACAGATAAAGTTTACGATGCAGACTCGCATCTTCGCAGTAGTGAATGCGCATAGAGAGAAATGCACACTTCATATGAATTAGCCTACAGAGAGCAGCCCATTTCTTTTAGTTTTTAATTGTTTTGTTTAAAAGTAGACATTTCAAGCTTACTATATATATACACTTCTCAGATATTTAAGGCATGTATCTTATACGCTGAGTTTCGTTTTTTTTAGGAGACGCGCTCCAGTTCACGCGCTGGTGCCTCCGTGTCCGGCTTATATTGTCTAATATATATGCTTCTTATTTATTAATCCAGGCAATTCGTTGATGAAACATTGATTAAAATGAAGATACAATTTATACAAAACGAAATTCACTTTAAAGAAAGGCTTTCTACAAAACAAAACGTAATAAGTGGTCATAATCATGTCTGACCCATTCCTAATGTTTTCCGATATTGGGCATCTTATGATCCTATCTTATTCATCTCATGCAGTTTCCTTTTCATATAATCAACATAGATGAAAAAAAAACAAAAAAAACGTTATATTATTAAACATAAATATGAAAAGGAGTAAGTTTTTTTTTATTTTTTACTTATAGCCTATTTAAGTGTCACACCGCTCCGCTGTATAGCTGTGTAGCCTACATGCATGTGTGCGTGCATATGGTGGAGGGGTGCGATTTTCGAATAATAATCAAATAATACCAGGTGATCTTCAAATATTATTTTTGCTTGAAATGCCCATCCCTGCCAAACTGCAGAAGTCGTGTTCTTCTTCGAGACCAGGTGCGCAACTTGCCATCTTTCCCCCTATCTTCCCCACTCTTTCTCCTCCACACTGTCACGTGATGACAACCACACATAAGCATTTTTAGCCATTAAATAAATTATATTTAATATTTAATCCTTGTCTCCTATATAAGTGCATTGGATTTTTTTTATGACGGTATGACGATATTGAAACTGATACCGTTGCTATTTTTAGATCCCGCAGTATACGATATTACCGTATTACCGCCCAAGCCTAGCATGCAACACAACTTCTTGTCCAGGCCCTGGTTATCTCTAGGCTTGATTACTGCAATGGTCTTCTGGCTGGACTTCCATCTTGTGCAACTAAACCTCTACAAATGATCCAGAATGCTGCTGCTCGTCTTATCTTAAACGAGCCCAAAAGGGCCCACGTCACTCCTCTGTTCATCTCTCTGCACTGGCTACCACTTGCTGCTCGCATCAAGTTCAAGGCATTGACACTTGCTTACAGATTGACCACAGGCTCAGCTCCCTCCTACTTTCACTCGCTCCTACGAGTCTACATCCCTACCAGAAGCCTACGATCAATCAATGAGCGACGGCTCATGGTACCTTCACAAAGAGCCACAAAATCACTCTCCAGAACATTCTCATTCACGGTTCCATGCTGGTGGAACGATCTGCCCACCCTCATTCGGAATGCAGAATCCCTGACAGCATTTAAAAGACAACTGAAAACTCATCTCTTCCGTGAGCACTTAACATAAAAAAAAATAAAAAATAAAAAATAAAAAAAACTTCAATCCTCACTTGTCTGGTTTATGCTACTCTGAGCAATGTTTGAACTTTGTATTTTGAGCACTTCTTGGGTTGTTATTGTCTCTTCACGATGACTCGTTTGGTTAGTCCTCAGATGTAAGTCGCTTTGGATAAAAGCGTCTGCTAAATGACTAAATGTAAATGTAAATTAAAAAAAAATTTGGGCCGAACAACCCCAGAGGGTTAAGTTGCATTTTTCAAAAAGATTGTGGGCTGGACTTGAGCTGAAAGAGGGGGGTTTAATGACCCTTTAAAAACACATAAAATAAACTTTTGTAACAACATCCGCAACATCACGTGTGTAAACGCGGGGTAGAGAAAATAATCAAATGTATAACAGTTTTCAAACTTATACAGGTTTCCCGTGTGTAGCAATATATCAGCCACCACTCCTATATCCCACCACACCTTAATGCTATACAGTCCCTCATACTAACCAGAATTTATAAAGTAAATACTGTGCAGATGAATCCATCTGCATGGAGAAAATACGCACATACTACATCTGCAGATTTTACATGATCTATAAAAAATGGCTTACGTGAAGGGAAGCCGCCTCCAAAGAACATGTTAAAGAGATCTTCAGGTGTAATATCAGACTCAAAGCCTCTGTGGAAATCAAATCCTCCATGAGCGCTGCTAGGCTCCTCTCCTCCACAAACATCATACTGCCTCTTCTTCTCTGGGTTACTGAGCACTGCATAAGCATTTGCAATTTCTGGAGAAGAACAAGAACAGCATTTTTTGTTTTATATTTCAATTTTGTAACAATGTATTGGATCAAAATTGGATATGATGTTTCAGGGACAGCATTACTTTTAAAGGCCTCGGTTGCTCCTGGTGCATGGTTTTTGTCAGGGTGGAATTTCAAAGCCAGTTTTCTGTAGGCCTTTTTCAGTTCCTCATCATTGGCATCTTTTCTGATAGCCAGTACCTCATAGTAATTCTTACACTTCTTTATCCTAAAGACAACAAAAAGCAACAGGGTTTCACTTTATTCTGATGGTACCTGGCTTTGACACATTCTGTTGTCTATAAGTAACATTGCACCTACATGTCTACTAACTCTCAGAGTATTCGTAAACTGGTAGGGTTAGGGTTAGAATAAGTTAACATGTAGTTGCAAAGTTACTTATAGTCAGTAGAGTGTCTGTTGAAGGACTATCACAATAAAGAGTTAGCAGATATTAAGCAGACATTCCACTAATACTCTAATGAGAGTTAGTTGACATGTAGTTGCAAAGTTACTTATAGTCAACAGAATGTTCAAAAGGGACCATCAAAATAAAGTGTAACCAGCAACAGTTTTTAAATGTTAGCCTAAATCTAAAATGTTAAATATATTTTATATAAAACTTATTTTTTAATTACAACTGTGGCTTCAACAAGCTATAAAGTGCTGCTTTGCCAAGCTACATGTATACACAAACAAAAACACTCACCACTTACTTTATTAGGTACACCTGTTTAACTGCTCGTTAACACAAATATCTAATCATCCAACAACATATGTCTGTTCACTTTTCAGAGCGCCGTCAGTCAAATCCATTCCACTTGAGGAATACCCTAATAAATTAAACTCCATTCCGCGTTTTAGCTACAACGTTGATTTCCACGCTGCTGCTCAAATCCATTCCACTTGGCTCATTCAGAGTCCCACCAAACCCTTACTTTTCAGGCTAGATGAGCCAATGCGCATGTGCTGACTTTTTGTCTGGTACTAATAAAGTTCACTAGCTAAACACTAAGTTATCATTAGCTAGTTCATGCTTACAGCTGTTAGCTAACAATGACTGTCCCTAACGTTAGTTGTTCGCTGGATTGACCAGCTTACACCGTTTCTTAAATTATTTTTGATTATAGTGGTAATCCATCTTGTAAATTATGTAAACTTGACTGACTGCTTCATTTCCCCTTTAAGCACGAGTCTCAGGTTCCTATGGGAACCGGAGCTTCTAACAGATAGAATACAGATCATACGAAGTTTAAAATGTGACCAGTTACGGAAACTAGGGACACAAGTCGTTCTGGAGCATTTTGAGTTATTCACAGATTCTGAAAGTGTGGTCTCCAAGCTTTCCAACGATGTGTAACACATGGAAATCTGATAATATTTGGAGAAGTTGTAGCCATTTGAAGTTAGGCACTCAAAAAAACTAAAAGTGGAGAAAACCGCCTCGAAAGATGTGCAGTTCTCACCTCTCTCTGCTGCTGGGAGTGACAATAGGGCTCATTTACATCTCATTTAGATAAGCCATACCCCCTGTAAAGCTCCCCCTGTGCTTTACAGCTTTTTCTTTCTTTCCTGAGCTAGCTAATAGCAATAGGTAGGTATGGGAAGGTCTAAACAGACTAAACATGAGATAACATGTACCTGTTCTTAGAATTAAAACAAAACGACAAACTTTAATGTTTAATGCAAACTCACCCCCAGGACCGGCGAATGCACTTCTGCCGCTCTAGGCGAAAAACAATTGTGCTGCCCCTCTATTTGCAACGTTTACCAGCAACAACACACAAAGACCAATATGCCATATACATATAACGCAAAACCAGCAACAACACACAAAGACCAATAAGCCATAGGCCTACATATAACGCAAATAGTGCGCAACGTGCGTGTGCCCAAAATGTCAAGAATATTAAAGTTTATGCAGGAGGTAAATGCCTGCTGGCATTTTTATTTAAGCAGTCATGACAGGAATTTTCCAAATAATCATATTTCCTCCTCAGATTACTGTTGCAAATCTCTTTACACCACTTTCTTATGTGCGTTTATACACACACAAATGAAATGTCCGCAAGCACATTATATCATCAGCAGGTTCAGCATCTTACATAACGACTAAGGAGCAAATAAAGCTTAACTTACGTTTCAGAAACGCGCACGGCAGGCCTTCATCGCAGCAAAGGTCTTAACTGCATCCTCTATTTCGATTCTCTGTGCCAGTTCATGTTCTATGGAGATTGTTGCCAGTCCATTAAGTCTGTTCCCTGTTCACAAAACGTTCCCCATTCAAAGCAATCGGGACGTCACATACGAAACAGTTAGCCACCGCTGTCAGCGAGCCGAGCCGCCGTATTCAAGCACCGAGGGCGCGCGCGCCGCGCCCATACCTCCGGTTCAGTTTCCCGAGCCCACAAAGTGCGGCGAAAACATTTTCGGTGTAACTGCCACGGTTCAGCTCGTCTGCGACAATCTTTGCGGCATCGATCTTCATTGAATTTTGATATCAGACAGAGCCGGCCAGAGTGCTGCATAATAAGTAGCCACGCTGTTGGGGGGCGGGGGCAAAAGCGCCGGCGGCTATTCAGTATGGAAATACACACAGACAATGACACGCCCCTACTGCATGCTAGAATCTCCGAAAAACAAGCCGATTTCAACCTCAAAATGTACGCTTTTAAATATACCAATACTGTTATCTCAAACATGGAGAGGCTTCTTCATGATCTCAACTAACAGATTCTGCAAAAAAGCGGAAATCACCAATTTTGGAAAAAAACGCTTCTTTCTCATTTTGCTCGCAAGTTGTGCTGCCGACTTGTGTCCCTGGTTTCCGTGACGGGTCACAAATGTTTAAATAGACATATCAAGTAGTAATTAATGTATATGAATCTTAGTTGATTATAGGCTATTAGAGCTGGTTTGGTTGCTGAGAGACGGAGACGCGCAGTTAACGCGCTGTTTGATTTGTGATCGTGCTGTGCTTATTCCATTCATTCGAGTAGCCTATCATATTGGGCAAGGCTTAAATCCTTTAAATATACATACAATAATATACAATATCATATCATAGAACATGTATATGATGTAGTAGCCTATTTGAGTTGATATTACTCTTGCCAAGCTCTGATTTCTGAGAGATGCACACATAGACGGATTTGCACTAGTCTAATTTTTACTCTCACTCATTCACTTCACTCATTATTGCATAGAGATTTTAGATAAGGTATTTGGCTTCGGGAACACCCCTAATCTACTCCAGTAAAAAAATTCTGGAGGATGACCCACCCACATTTTTTTTGCTTCTGACGCCATGGTTTAGGCTGCTAGTGGTTGTGTAATGGTGTGGGGGATATTTTCTTGGCACACTTTGGGCCCCAATTGAGCATTGTTTAAACGCCACGGCCTACCTGAGTATTGATGCTGGTGAACTCCAAACGAACATCGTTTAAGCCTGATTTTGTTCGAAATAACGTCAAATCAGTTCATTCTTTGATTTCGCTTAAAGTATATCGGGGCCTTTAAGATGAGGTAGAACGGGAGATTCGTATCATGGATGTCAAATCTGTCGTCGGCAGCCGTCCGTCTCGGGAGACGATGGCGTAGCTCGGTGTGTCTATCTGCACCGCCGGGAATGGCTGTGCAGACCAATTCTAGAGTGGCAGTCCTTGCCGCACTGGGCGCAGGAGAAGGGGGATGGCTGGTCAGGCTGCTGTTGCCGCTGCTTCCGCCTAGCTCTCTTTGCCACGGCAGTGTCGTTTCGTGCCGCTTCTGCTTTGATTGTTGCCTGCCGGACTGCTTGTCGCCAAGCGGAGCGATCATCAGCCAGGCTCTCCCATGCGCTGGGGGCAATGCCGCATTGCTTCAAGTCCTTTTTGCAGACGTCTTTGAAGCGCAATTTGGGGCGCCCTGTGGTTCTGGTGCCTTCAGCCAGCTCGCCGTAGAGGAGGTCTTTGTGGATGCGGCCTGCGTCCATCCTCCTGACATGCCCAAGCCACCGCAGCCGTCTTTCGCTGAGCGTTGCATGCATACTGCTCATGTTGGCTCGTTCCAGCACCTCGGTATTGGGGATCTTGTCCTGCCACTTGATATGCAGTATGCGACGCAGGCACCGCATGTGGAAGCTGTTGAGTTTCTTCTCGTGCTTTGCGTAGGTGGTCCATGACTCGCTGCCATAGAGGAGCGTACTGAGCACGCAGGCTTGGTACACGCGCAGTCTGGTCGTCTCAGTAAGGCTGGAGTTGTTCCACACTCGCTGATTCAACTTGGCCATGACTGCGGCTGCCTTGGCGATTCTGCTGTTGATCTCAGAGTCGATGGATAGCGAGCTGGAGATCGTGGACCCAAGGTACGTGAAGTTCTCAACAACGTCCAGGCTGTACCCGTCGATGGCGGTGTTTGGAGGGGTCTCTGCTCCCTGCATCATGACGTTGGTCTTCTTCAGGCTGATGGTCAATCCAAACTCCTTGCAGGCGTGTGAGAGGCGGTTGACAAGCTGCTGAAGTCCGTCTGCTGTGTGTGAGGTCAAGGCTGCGTCATCAGCGAAGAGCATCTCACGGATGAGTACCCCTGTGACTTTGGTCTTGGCACGGAGACGGGCTATGTTGTAGAGCTTGCCGTCCGACCTGGTGCGGATGTAGACACCCTCGCTGCAGTCTTTGAAGGCGTATTGGAGGAGCATGGAGAAGAAGATACCAAATAGTGTGGGCGCGAGGACGCAGCCTTGTTTCACTCCGCTGCTGACTGGGAAGGCTTCGGATGTTGCGCCGTTGTAGCATACTGTGCTGTGCATATTCTCGTGGAAGGACGTGACCACTGCAAGCAGGTGTGGGGGGCAACCAATCTTCTGCAGCAACCTGAAGAGTCCGCTTCTGCTGACCAGATCAAACGCCTTTGTGAGATCGATGAAGGCGATGTAGAGTGGCATGTGCTGCTCCTGACACTTCTCCTGCAGCTGGCGTAGTGAGAAGATCATGTCTACTGTTGATCGGCCATCCCTGAAGCTGCACTGGGACTCGGGGTAGACGCGGGAGGCGAGGGTCTGCAGGCGGGCCAGAGCGACGCGGGCGAACACTTTGCCTACAATGCTGAGGAGGGAGATGCCCCGGTAGTTGTTGCAGTCACTACGGTCTCCCTTGTTCTTGTACAAGGTGACAATGTTAGCGTCTCGCATGTCCTGGGGTATGTAGCCCTGTTCCCAGCAGAGACAGAGGAGGTCGTGGAGTGGTTGTAGCA